TCTAGCCTGGCACCTTGAGCTGTACTTATAAACCTTTGCTCTAGGCTCGTCTCATTTGTTTGGGAGTTTAGATGGTTCCAAAATTTCGCAGCTGCCTTTCTATCTCTTTATGTACTTCTGCCAGCCACTGAGCTCCTTTTCTTCTAATCTTTTCATGGATGAGAAGGGATGCATCCCTTCTACAGCTTAGAAAGGTTTCCCACTTTCTTTCAACATCATCTGTCGGTTCACCCCGCTGCTTAGCATGTCTGTGTTCCCTAGAGGCTTCCTGACGTTTTGCTATGGCTCTCTTAACTTCCTCATCCCACCAACTTTTAGGTTTGTGTCTTTTTTTTTCGGGGGTGACTTGTTACGCGTCTTAGCAAGCTCTAGCTCGAAGAGTCTAATTATATTCGTGTATGTCTACACTGTCTTAATATCCTCCGTGATTACTTTCTCAATTTGTTTAGTGGCTATTTCAATTTGCCTTTCTGGATAAAAATTTTCCTGTAGTTGCTCATCTTGTCTCCTTCCCACTTTCACTGCTCTTCCAAAACTTAGATTGATACGTTTGTGATCACTACCCAGACTTCTGAAGCCACCTTCATCTATGTGCATTCCCCTGAGCTTATCATACATTCTATGTGACACCAGTGCATAATCTATCGTCGACTGCAGCCTTCCTACCTCCCATGTTATTTGTTCTTCACACTTCTCGGTACTGTTGCAAATGATCAAATCAAGCCTTTCACACATATCCATGATCATTTTGCCTGTCGGGTCGGTATACCCATCTATATCTTCTATGTGCGCATTCATGTCTCCTAGTATAATTATTTCGCACTCTCTTCCTAACTCCTGAATGTCCTTTGATATACACTCTACCATTGCCTGGTTTTCCTCTCTGGCCTTTGATCCCGTCCACAAGTACACGAAACCAAGGAGTGTCATTGGACCTGCCACTTTTCCTTTTAGTCATAAATTTTCCTTGCACTCCTGCTTGACCCTTTGCCAGTCTGTACTTTTATGAATGAATGCCCCAATAACACCACCCTTTCTGCTGCCTTCTGTTCTATTACAATATTCCCACGCGTAGTCCGGATTGTTCGGAGGTTGTTTCATGTCCCTGAGATGTGTTTATACAAAACCGTATACCATCGGCCTCTCTTCCCTTAGCTGTTCTTCTATCTCTTCCCACTTCAGCCTGTTCCTACCACCCTGCATGTTAGTATACCCTATGTCTGAATTGGCTCGGCGCTCGTGGCTACGTCTATTTATGCCCCGGACTCTACCTATCTTAGATACTGGTGCCACTTTGGAATCGTATCTGTCCATACCACCTGTCAAAGAGTCTTCCTGGTTGTTTTCCTCGTTACTGGCTATTCTGCACCCCGAAGGGCCCGCTTGCCCCCCAAAAAAGCTACTGCGCGTCCTGCAAGTCGCCAACCCACCTCATGACCTAGCCGCCCATCGAAGTGAATTCTGTCTCGTTGAAAACCACCCCACCTATGCACCTCTCTGTTTATTTCCACCACCTCAAAGCCTTTATCTCGAGTCATCCGCCATATCTCTTGGTTTGCGTTGACAACCGCTCTTTGCAGGTTGCTATCACGCACCGGTACCTCCGGTATCGTGCATATCACTACCTGTACCTGAAGAGAAGTGGCGCGCATGTCATCGGCGCCTTTCGCCAGTGTGTTTGCTAGTCCTGCTGTATCTTCATTTAAGACTTCGTTTAAACCGTCTTAAGTGATCACGAGGTTTCATCTATCAGCTGTAGTATTGAGTTTCGCGCTCGCTTGCCTCATGACTGCTTCCAGCTTGCGTCCTGGGAACGCCCCTACTGCAACCCTCTTGTCACCTCTTACCCTCTCTTTGATGGCTTGTGTGCATCGATTTAAATTCGAGTCCCCGGCGATTATCACATGCTGTGCCTTTTCAGCTGAAGCGTCCTGCACCTGGGTTCTACTTGCATCATTGACGCCGGCTGCTTTGTCCCCTCCCCGCCCCACCACTACCTCGCTGAAGCTGGGCCTTGTGACAATTAAACCGGCTGAACCTGTTTTTTTCCAAACTTGCTTGCTCTTCTTTCTCCGCCGTTCTGGTTGCCGGTTCCCTGTTGTTCTCTCCGTCGGCCACTTTTCTGTTTACCTTGGCTAGGGCTTCCTCGGCGGACTTCAGCCTTTCTCCCATAGCCCTCGTTTTCTCTTGCTCTGTCGCCAAAGCAAGTCTCGAGCTCGACGATTCTCATCAGCAGTTCACTCTGGGCAACCATCATTTTCTCCATTTTTTCCTCGACCTCACATTGCCTACACTTCGCGTCAGCCTCTTCTCCATCCGCTTCTACACTTGGGTTCACTTTCAAACCCACTCCACATCCTGAACACTCTACAGTCTTTTTAACCATCTCTTTCTGACACCAATTGTCCCTATACTCGATAATTACTAAACTCGAGCCCTGCACTACGAAAAAAAGAAAGTCTATAAGCTCTATTACAAAAATTTGCGCGTTCAATGTACGCGCACGTCCCACACGGGGTGGCAAAAGAAAAAAATCGACAAAAAATTCAAACACACACACCCACACTAACTAATAAATACCTAGTGACTGGCCGCCGAAAAAGCCGTACCATAAAACAAGTGCTACGAAGATTTCAACTGCTGCCTTATAATTATAAAGACAAGCTCAAAACATGCAAAAACATTTATCTGCGCAGTCGATTGGGAGCGCTCAAAAAACACGTCCATCCACCGTGACAGTCCGAACCGAACCTGCGACACGCTGGCAGTGCCATCTGCTGCGCCGTGGCGCCCTCTGACCCCAACTGCGACTACTGCCAAGTGCCGGAGCGTATGGCATCTGGGAATGCCCAATTATTCAATCCGAGCTGCTTTTATGAAAAAAGCCCAACGTATACTACCTCACCAACAGCAAGATGTGGATGAGGCTACCAACTGGATACTCGAAGATCCACTCATCAGGGTCAGGCTGAATATGTGGCGCATTGCCTTGCACACGACGACCATTTCCTGCCATGCAGCAACACTATTCACATCATTTTTTTGCTTGTTTATTACTCTTTTTTCCTTTTTTATACCAGATTACTGAAGCCGACCAGCGAGAGCCCATTGTATGTAGCCTAATAAAGTTTTTAATCAATCAATCAAACAATCAATCAATCAATCAATCAATCAAAGGGTGGCTGTGGGTGTATTTTGTTATATGGCACAGTATTATGACATCATTTGTATATAGAGAAGAGTGAATGATTTCTTGCTTGCTTTGATAATTAATTTTATATTCCAGGCCGCGTGCTGCGCTATATTTGGCTCGCATGTCCTTGGTACCCTCAACTACCGATCGGCAGCGTTTTCTGCACAAGCTCAAAAAGTGTTGCATGGCCTTTTGCCGTGACAGGACGCTTGGTAAGCTAGAAAACTGCAGCTGGATACGATGCCTCCTTGATGTTCCCGCATTAATCGCTAGGACGTCAGGGTTCCACGGCATCTGTGGTGGCCCCACGAAGTTCTCAATCGGTAAAAATGTAACATGCTTTTTCTAATATGTTCAGGTGAAATTTTTGGAATAATTTGTTGAGATACCGGGGTAAAATGGGAAAAAATGGAACTTTCAGACTCGTGATGTGACGGCGAGGTTCATGTATATTGCTCGCTCACGAAATTTAAGGAAAAATTCGCCTTCATTCTTTTTTTTCTGTTTAAATAGTATGATGGTAAAATGAAAGACCGTAAAATATAATTTTCACTGATACTCCAGAAGCGCGCAAAAAAGCAGCCCTGAAACATACTGCACAAGGTGATCCACGAGCAGTGGATTTTGGCGTGTTTCAGTAGCAAGAAAACCAATTATAGCATTATCTCCCCATATTGTACGTGGTCGGGCTTATATACGGGTTGGATGCGACTGCGCACGTGGAAGATCTTTCAGCTCGAGAATGGCGTTGTGAGAGACATAGTCAAATGAGTTCTCAATGGTAGGTTTTGACAATGATAGTTTTTATTCTACAGCTCTATTACCTGGCGTTTTGCGAAATTACGATGGCCGGCTTCGAGTTGCACTTACGGGTCTCCATTACCCCTATAGCAGGCACGTCACCGTAACCGACGCTGTAATCACCGCTTTCATTTTGAATGAACTGTTTTTGCCACGTTGTAGAGCTCTCACTTGACCAGATACGCGGCGTGTTCCAATATCTTAATAAGGATCCTGGCGTGCCGCTGCTGGCTCGGTGCGATGAACGTATGGACCAGGCCAATCTCTTCGGACCGAGAGACGTGTCTCAACCTGCGCGCGTAAGCCTCTGAAGAGTCCAGACAGTCGTAGTTCACCACCAGGCTCACGTTCTCGAGGACCAAGTCCTGCGCAGCCATGTCCATTGTCACGAGCACGGACGCCGCGCCGTAGCAAAACGTTGACAGCAGCCAGTGGCCCTCTTCTTTCGTCTTCTTGCCGTAAAGGCCAATGGCAGTCGAGCCACGCGGTCGCAGTTTTCACGCGATCTCGTCGGCCTTCCTCTTCGTGTCGGTGAACAGCTCTGTTTATCCTCTCTCTGTGGACGTCGCCCAATAAGGTGGGCAATTTGTCATCGTTATCTTTCTCCTGGCAGACGTCCACGGTCATTTCCAACCGGTTTTCTGCGGGCGGCTTCGCCGTGTCGAAATTTAACTCGACGTATAGTCGTCGAGCAAGTAATCGACGAGAGGATTCAGATCTCTTTGCCAGGATGTGATTCATACTATCGTTTGCCGGTCCGGCCTGCAGAGATCGGCGACCTTCGAGACTTCCGGCTTGAAGCCCATCGCAACCGTGCGGTCTACTTCGTCCAACACGAGGTACGTACACCAGTAAAGATTCAGCTTGCCATCTTCGAGGAACTCGATGAGCCGTCGAGGCGTCGCCACGCAGATTTGACAGCGCTTCCGCAGTTCGGGGTATTGATTCTTCTTGGCTTCGCTGATTGTGGCGCACACGCCACGCACTCCAGCCCGCTCAACGAGCTCTAGGCAACGTTGTGAACCTGCTTGGCGAGCTTGGGCGTCGGTGCCAACACAACAACGATGGGTCCGCCTCGCTCTTCCAGGGGTGACTGCTGCCTGACGTGGATGACGGCGGGCAAGACGTAGGCGAGAGCCTTGTGTGAACCTGTCTCCGCTTTAGCCAAAAAGTTCCCGCCCGAGAGAGCGATCGACCAGCAATGGGCCTCGATGCAGGTGGGCGAAGTGTGCTCGCCTTGGGCCTTGATGCCTCTGACGATGAAGTCCGGAAAGTTGGACTCTTCCAGTGCGAGAATGGGCTTCAGAACGTCGTCCCCTTTCACAGATACACCATAGGCATTTCTTCAGGCTTCCACTTCGGCCATCGACCTGCTTGACGTGACTGGATGTTCCTCGTAGAGGTTCTTCTCGAATGGCGGCAGCTGGATGTTCTCCTAGGGGGCCTTACAAAGAAACCAGCCGGGCTTACCGAAGAAAAAAAAAACGGGTAGTTTCACATGTGAGTCCGCGCAATCTGAGCGTGTCTGCGAAAAGCACTTCAGCATGAGTGACAGTGTTCGCGTGAACCAGCGGTTCCAGTTCCGCCTGAGGAATTGCTGGTACGTCATAGCGCGATGTTTCGAAACCTTTGCCGGACGCTGTGCCGAAGATTTTCGACGGCCTCCTGATGTATTTGTCTAGAGAAAAAAAATGTACCGAGCTCGCTGTCTATAGGCAGAAAGAACGTAAAATATACACAAGGAATGGGTTGTGCATGTGCATTGTAGCAAACATTTGAACTAAATAAAAATATTTCATTTATTTTATTTATTTATTTATTTATTTATTTATTTATTTATTTATTTATTTATTTATTTATTTATTTACAGGATACTGCAGGCCCGACTGGGGCCCTAGCGGGAGGGGCAAAAGTGTACCCGAAAAGGCAATACATAAACACATTTACATACAGTGCATTGAAAACAAAAGAAAGGTAGTGCCTAATTAGTACAGCAAAGCTAGAAAATGATAACACTTGGAATATCTCAAAATTGTAAGGAAAAGCAAAGAATAAAAAAGCAATATTCACACAAAAAAGGAACATAACTAAAACAACCTAACATCAATCCTGAAGACTTTCAATTATTTTTATACTTTGCACTGCTAACATTGGCAGCGAGTTCCACTCGTTAATTGTGCGCGGGAAAAAATGAGAATTTGTATAGCTTCGTTTTTGTGCTGTACGGGGTTAGTGATTGTTTATGTCGATGCCTTGTAGGTTGTGACACCAGTGATGTCACGTAAGGCTCAGGAGGGAGAAGCAATTTACGATTCTTCAAATGAAAGATAAGTTTTAGTCTGTCAATTTTTCTTCGCAATTGCAATGATTTATGCCATAAAGATTCATTAGTTGAGTCGGAGAGTCTGTTTGGTGGTATTTAGAATAAATAAATTTGACTTATTTTTGTTGGATCATCTCCAATGCTTCGACATTCTTTTTCGTATGAGGGTCTCAGACAATAGATGCATATTCGAGTTTGGGTCTTATAATGGATGAATATGCGTGTAGTTTGACACCAGGTGATGTGTGTTTTACCTTATGTCGTAAAAAGCATAGCGTACGGAAGGCGGATGTGCAAATGTTTGAAATATGCGTGTTTCAGCTTAGTGTACCGGTTATTGTGACGCTGAGGTATTTGTAGTGATTGACCTGCGTTAGCGGTTCTGAAGGGAGGCTATACGAAAAAATAAATTGGTTTCCTTTCTACTCATATTCATGAAAACTGCTTTGTCAGCGTTAAGTTGCATTTCCCACTCTTGACACCACATATTTATGTTTTGTAGGCTAGTATTCAGCAAGGCTTGATCATCCGGACTTCTAATTTCATTAAGTAGCAAGCAATCATCTGCGAAAAGTCTAATCTGGACTGGTTTATTAATGACCTGGACAATGTCGTTGATGTATATGAGAAACAAAAGCGGGCCTAGTACGCTTCCCTGCGGGACTTCCGAGTTAACAGGCAAATGTCGTGAAAAATGATTGTCAATACTTACAAACTGTGTGCGGTTTGAAAGGTATGCGGAAATCCAAGCAACGATAAACTCCGGTAGTCCTATGGTTTTTAACTTTAAAATTAGTTTTGTGTGGCAAACAAGATCGAAAGCCTTTCTAAAATCTAAAAATATTATGTCAATCTGGCCTGATTTATCTAGATTAGAGGCAAAGTTATGATTGACTGCGGTTAATTGAGTTACTGTGGAAAGACCTTTCCTAAACCCATGCTGAAATGGAGACAGTACACTGTTATCATTGAGAAATCTCGTAATATAAGTAGCAATAATATGTTCAAGGAGCTTACAGCAAGACGCGGTTAAAGATATCGGTCTATAATTTGTTGGCAATGCGGAATCACCCTTCTTTAGCACTGGTAGAATTCTTGCCATCCTCCAGTCATCAGGAATGATAGCTGTCATCAATGATTTGTTAAATATAACTACTGGATATGTAGCGAGCATCTCGGCATATCGGCGAAGGAAAAGATTAGGTATTTTGTCAGGGCCAGGCGATGCCTTTGCTTTAAGGTTTAGTAACATTGATATAACACCGGATAAAGATACAAGATTTGTTTCCGCACAACTGACATGATTGTGGCTAATTCTGGTGTAAGGGTTCAGTAGGGTTGGAGAAGACACCGTAAAAATCGGCATTCAACTTTTCAGCAATGTCTTGTTGATCAAAGATGACAATGTCATCCTGTACAATGCGGTCGATCGACTTCTTACTCTTCGAAAGAAATTGCCTGAATTTCTATGGCGAACCAGAAATGAAACTAGGTAGCGTGTGATTAAAGTAGTGCTGCTTCGCGCTACTAATAGCTTGATTTAGGATTTTTTTTTATTTTCCTGCACCGTGCTCTTGCTGGCGCATTGTAGTTTGTCTTTTAATTTTTCTTTTTAGCTGTAATATACGTCTTGTAATCCAAGGGTTTTTACGGTGTGTTTTCTCACTTTTGTTTGGAACAAAGTTGTTAATGCAGTATTTGCGCAAACGTTTAAACTGTTCCCAAAGATCAGTAGCATCTGTGCCTTGAAAGCTACTGATGTGCAAGTCAAGAAAGTCAAGGACACTCTCGTCTTTTGCCCGTGAAAAGTCTTTGGTCATTATTGAAACATGAAGCTGGGTTTTGCACGCCCCAAGAGAAAACGAAAGAAACACCATTTCATGATCGGACAGCTGCACTGACCCAGAATAATCGTTAATACAATGGCTGATAAAAATAAGGTTTAGCGTCGAAGCGCAGTTGCCTTGTATGCGGGTATAGGCTGATCAACTACTTGGTGGACGTCAGCCGTAAGCATTAAATCAGTTAAGTATGTTATGCGACATGTGAGCTCATTTCATGGTTAAAAAACGGCTGATTCCAGTCAACACCAGGTAGAATAAGGTCCCCAGCCAAAATATATTTTCCATTATTAAATGAAGCCACGTGTCCACATAGCTGACGCAAAAATACAGAAGGTGAGTCGAGTGCACGATACACAGCAAAAAGCATAAAAGATCGCTCCCAACATGTCCCTTTTAATGTGACGCTTTCATGATTGTCGATTTGGAGGGTTAAGAAGGCAGATATAGTATTTTTCACCAGAACAGCCACTCCCCCTTCACGTGACGGACTGTCACGATGGAATACATTACACGATGGTGGAAAAATGTCTGCATTGTCAATGGCATCGTGCAACTATGTTTCTGTAATCACGACTATGTGGGGGGAGTGACTTGAAAGTACAGCTTCAAGTTCTGTGATTTTAATTAGGATGCTACGCACATTTATGTTAATGATTTGTAGATCCTTATTACAGAGTGGTTGGCATCATTGTTTATTAGCTCTCTTTTGTTGACTGTACGTTTTGATTCTCGCGTTGCTAATTTCATCCGAGGTAGAGAGCTGACCGTCGATGCTCAGCTTGTCATGCAGAAGAATAACTTTCTTGCCCTATTGCTTTTCATTTTTTGCGTTGTTCCAGAGAAGTTTCCTTTTTTTATTGTATCTGGTGAGTAATCATTCTGAACTGACACCTTCGTTCCCTTGAGCTTGTATGCATTTTTTAGAACGTTGTGTTTTCCATTGTAATCCTGGAAATCTATTATCACAGACCTAGATCTACTAGGTTTGCCGAGCCGGTGAATTCTACCCACTGAAGTACATGGCATGTCAAGCTTCTCACAAAACAGTTCAGTTAAAATTTGTTGTTTCAGATCTTGTTCAGTTTCACTAGCATTTTCTGGTACGCCAAAGACAATTAAGTGTGATCGCCGACTCTGTTCCTCTAAGTCTCTAACCTTTTCTCAAAGAAACTTCACATTTTGCTGAAGCTCATCAACACAGAGTTCTCTTTTCCAGTTCTGCGAAGCGTTGATTGAATTCTTCGAGCATGCTTTGCAAACCATTTTGCTGATTTCTGAGGGCGGAGATGTCAGCGGCTAGTTTGTTTTGTCCCTCTAACAATTGCTTCAGTATCTTTTCATTACTGGGGCCCGGTTTTGTTCAATATCCCGACACAAAAGAAGTTTACACATGCAAAAAACATCACATGCAATAGTAAGACACTGTTTGTGTCACGGAAGGACCAGCAGATATTGGCAGTCACTACGAATAGTATAGCAAGTATCACCAACCTGCAGAAACCAGAAGATGCGCTTAGGAAACATGCCCATGCTAGGTCCTTCGGGACCACTGGAGACAAAAAGGTGCGGTGTGTCCTTTATGGCCGAGTGCTGCGACGTGAATAGTCCTGAAGATGGCACTGTGGGTATGACGTTACAGTATCCCTCAAAGAAGTGGTTCGCCGGCACTGTCATTCCAGCCCAGAATTTGCACGTGTTGCTACCGTCAGCGTCAAGAACAACCGGCTACGCAGGCTCGTCGATGTGAATCGAGAAAAAGGCCTGCAGAAACCAGAAGATGCGCTTAGGAAACATGCCCATGCTAGGTCCTTCGTGCCCACTATGGTAGTATACTGGTCTCAAAATGTTTTAAATCGATGGGTGAATAATCCAATTCATAACCATCGCGCAAATCGAGCCTGGTTCGGACACGCTATATAGTTTTAGATATTGACGCCTGGTGGAAACCTAGACGCTTAAAGTGGTCAGAAATAACGAAGAATATGTAGTTGTAGTGTAAGTCGCCATTTAAGAGCGTAATAAACTGTCAGGGTCTCTTATGCATTAGCCTAGGAAGATTTGAAAACGAAAGCTATCTTTTTTTTCTTTCTTCAGTGACTGTAGTGACAATTCCTGCACCTCAAATGCTTGGGCATTGCCTCCGTGATCAGTGGAATGATCACGGAGGCGATGCCACTGATCCTGAACGCGATGCAAGATGACCGATTTGTGTGATGTTCTCATTCTGTGACCTCACAAACTGACGATCTGTGACGTCACGAATGACGATATCGCGTGATGATGTTTGCATAACTTGTCTTTACACCGTCTACGTGGAATTCCAACGACGATGGTCATTTTTTGCGTTTGATGAGGCACTTAACGCTTCAGTCTTTTCAAATAGTATGGAATGAGTTTAAAAACTACGCAGTATTGTGCGAACAATCAAACTTTAGACATGGCATGGCGCCGTTGAAATAAGTCAACGCACAAGACACATAGAGGGAAAAAAACGAAACCCAGGGCAACGTCGTATGAAGTATCTCTTGATCCTCGCTAATTGCTTAATTAAAAGCAAGCATTCATTCAAGCTGACTGTTCGTAGTTATGCAGATAGATACGCACGATAGAAACGCACAAAGTGTCTGCAGTGCGCAAAGAAAGGCTTCGAAATTAAGGGGACCCTAAAGGGAAACAATGATTTGGTTTAGAGAGGCAAACTGAACTCTGAAAATTCCAATGCCATATGTTCTACTATCATAACTTCATTCTTAGCGGAGAAAATCAAGGTTGAAGTTTCATTTTAAAATTTCGCTCCGAAATCTCCGAGCATGACGTTGGAAATATCAAAATGCATCTTTCCCATTTTTGCAACATTGATGACCCGATTAAATTTTTTGAAACCTCGTATGCTAGATCTCGGTCATCCACAGAGAACAAGGTACTTCATTTTTATCTATCAGAAGCTACGTAGTACCGAGTAGATGCCTTCGAAATTTGCGACGTCACAGCGATTGGTCCGGGAATCTCAAGGTGCCGTCTGCCCCCGAATTTTCTTTTCGCGTGTTTTCTTATTTAACAAGTGCCGTGTCATGGTAAGATTGGCGCTTGCAGGATTGTCAAATTGTACTTCTGTAATACGCGAGAAAGTCGTTTTCTTAGGGTACCTTTAAAAAGCGGTTGGTGCCCGGCAGTATTGCGAATTTAACCCATGGTCTTTCAAACTTTGAGCTGAACGCTCCACCCCTTTTCCATGCCACCACAAACGGCTGATATACGGTTCGCTTATCTTGTTTGTCTCAGTCATACAAAAAAGGCCCTTTTCTCTATCCCGATTGAGTTCGTATGTTGCTATTAGATAATGCCATTTTTTACGACTACATAGTGTCATCCTAAGAAACCCTGTTCTGCTCTTCCATTTTCTCTCGTATCCCATTTACTTTCCCTAATCATTATGGAGTTTCGCAAAGCAGGAAACTCCCTGATGACAGGGTTTCACCTCCTTTTTCTGTCTCTCTCTTTCTCTCTGGTTATATATGCGCGCTGTCTCCCCTCCTACCACCATGCTGGCACAATTACGTCAGTTCTACCCAGCCTGAAATGTGCCGAAACAGCGCAGCTGCAGCTCTCGCGGGATTCACTTCTGCTTTCCGGTGTCGTTTTGTGATTTAGTTTAGATGCTTGTAGTTACGTTGTTTCCAGAGTGAAGATGGACGGAAAAAAATTGTGGAAGCTCCTGCCACACCCACTCCTGTTGTCGTGGTTATAGGCCCTATACAAGCTCAAGCCACTTCCGCATTTCGCTATGCGTGTACCGCTTTGTTCGCGACAGAGATTAATTAGGGGGGCGTGTAGTTTAGGAGGTTCTGACACCCCCCCCCCCCCGAAATGACGCAGTTACGCCGCCTATGGATCCATCCTTCTTACTATTTACTTAAAAGTGACTTGCGATATGGACACTAATCAGCCATCGGGTTCGCTCACCCTAGAACAGCTCTGTTAAAAATCTACGTGACCGTTTCGGCCTCGAGACATCTAAGCGAGTAGACGGACTTATGTAACGTGGCAGAAGTGCCAACATCCATATAGAAGCCTTTTGGGGCTATAACGCTCGCTTAGATAATCTGCGCAGTGGTGTTCGCTTAGGAATGTCAGATGAAAATTTCGCTGTCAGGAACGATCACAGATTTTTAGATTCAAGACCATTGAGCACATATTTTCAGCATTCTTCAACGCCAAAAATTTGTGATCGTTCCTGGCAGCAAAATTTTCACTCGGACAGTTCTAAGTGCACACCGCTGCGCAGATTATTCTTTATTTTTGTTCGTATCACCTGTTGAGTTCATCTCGAAAAATGAATTTGTGCCACTTTTTTATAAAACGATTTCACAAATGAAGGAAGACGCCTGCCACTGAATATTCGCACTTTTGGAGTCGCTATCTTGACTCAACTTCGTCTAGGTTAAAGTTGACATTCATTAAACAAAGCTCTTCTTTCTAATTGACACTGTAACCACTATTAGCGCGAAATTTCAGATTGTATAATCCACCCAACTCTTGGCCGATCCCCCTTTGTAGTTAGGTGCCAATAATCTCGTGAGCATCGTCATTACTAGATCCACTGTTACTGAGGAGAAGAAGAAGACTACGAGATTTACGCGTACCCCCATGCAACTTTCCTTTGGGGCTACCGTGCTGAGTTCTAGCCACAGGAGCGTATGCGAGGCCGTATGTGATTTCCTGCGAGAGACGAGACGAATTGAATGCTAAATTCACCGAAATTAAACATATTTATAAAAAAGATCATCTTCTTCTTTTTATTCATTAATGTGAATCGAATACACTGGTTATCGCAATCGAGCATATTTATAAAAAAATACTCTTTTCTTTTCCTTTTTTTTCTTTTTTTTCCTGTGAAATATTCTAACGAATGATTACAAAACTATCTATTGGTTTCATGGCCAATCCCCCATGGTGGGTTGCGTCATGATAAAATGAATGAATGAATCAGTCAATCAATCGTTCAATCAATCAATCAGCCAATCAACTTTTGTTCGGAAACAGAAACAAAAGCGCTATTTTTTGTCATGTCGCTGATACAGATTACTAAGAAAAAGACTTCTTGTTATCCCATTCACCAATCCGGGGCTGAAATTCACAATTGACAATATACTTACCTTCGATGCTTCGGCTTTGGGCTTGAGACACAAGAACGCTTTTGATGCCATTTGTGCTTATCTTCATAAACTAAACTAATAAGAGAGTAAGTTCCTACTGGGGCGAGTATTATTACTGCAGCAATATTTTAACACAAAAAATGTGTTTTTTATCCACGTTCATTTCCGTCCAAGATAACGACTATACTGGCTGATTCGAACGGGTGAAGAACAATTATCCCAATTGTTCCGCTTTATGTACGTGTTTTTTTTGGGCTATAGGTATAAATATATAAAAAGGCTCACTAAATTATATAATCAATTCTTGGCCAATTATCATGAGTTGGTATTAGCCATGTTTGAGGCGTCATAATCATCATCACGACCGAGCAAGAGGGGTTGGCGCGAAGTTCTTCGAGGTGGACGGCATGTCTAAGCGCGACCGAATCGGGGACGGCCACCGCAATGTCGCAAAGTGGCGCCGGCACCGCGCGTCACGACAACCGCGCCCTAGCCAGCTGTCCAGTTCGTTGCACTTGCCGCCGTGGCACCACATCAAGCTGCCACCATTTGAAAAAAACTGGTACCGGGAACACGTCAACACAGCCCTAAGGTCAGACGACGAGGTTGACCATTTCAGAAAGTCCAACGGAATCACCGTGAAGGGAGACTACGTACCCAAGCCCATACTCTGCGCTAGCGAAGCAATCCTTCCCAACTCCGTGATAAAAACCATCCAGGACCAGAGTACTTTCACGCTCACAGCCGTGCAGGCTCAATGCTGGCCAGTGGCACTTCAAGGAAGGGACCTTCTGGTCACTCTACAGAACAGTCCAGAAGGCAAGACCCTGGCATACCTTGTTCCCGCCATTGTGCATGCCATGAACCAGCCTCCCGTTCAGCCTGGGGATGGTCCAATTGCAGTGGTGCTGGTGTCTGTGCGGGAAACGGCACGACTGGCTCAGCAGGCAGCATCCAAATTTGAAATGCACACCGGAGTGCGCAGCACCTGCCTCGTCTCACGAGATACCGACGGACAGCAAGACACGCACCTGAAGAGAAGCAACGAGCTGTGTGTTGCGACACCCGGTCACCTCCTGTCTTTGCTGCAAGAGGGCAAGGTGAACCTCTCTCGATGCACGGTCGTGGTTGTCGACGAGCTTGATCGCATGTTGCTTCTCGGATTGGAGCCAGTAATTCGGCAGGTTTTCAAGTACGTGCGGCCGGATCGCCAGACGCTGGTGTGGGCAGCCGCGCCGTTGTCCATGGACGCACGTGCGTTCGCTATAGAGATTTGCGTGCATGGACCCGTAGAAATCATCGTCGAGCCTCCTCGAGGACTGGTCGACCCACAAGTGAGACACGATGTCCGAGTGTGTGGGGACGCGGGAAAAATGGACGTGTTCGCTGCCATCTGCGAGGAACTTTTCAACGGAGAGCGAGCAGACCAGAAAGAAGAAAAGGCCATAGTGTTTGCCGATTCCGCTCAGACTGTCGACGACCTGACGAGGATGATTCGGCGGTATCCGCGTTGCGTCATCGGCGTTCACGGCCACCAAGCCGCGGGTAATCGGCAATGGGCTATCAACGCATTCCGAGTAGGCTGGTACGCCGTCCTCGTGACGACCGGTTCCGTGTCCAGAAGGCTGGACACGTCGGAGAAAGTACAGTTCGTGGTGAACTACGACTATCCGGGAGGTCGCGATGAATACATCCGCCGGACCGGCCTTGCGACTTCCGCGGTGTACACAATATTCACGCCGCGAAATTACCAACACGCCAAAGAACTGAAATCAATCCTAGATAGTGCCAAGCAGGAAGTTAGTCGAGAGTTGGTAAATATCGGAGTCTCCGGAAGGCGCAATATTTAAAAGGAGCTGGACGGTTTCGTTCGTTATTTTGCGGACTTTTTATGTAGCTCGTACTGGAGATTTCTGAAAATTTTTAGGGGTAAACTTGATGGCTGCTTTTTCAGAATATATTTCGTCGCTAGAATACGTCCGGTCTTCTGGGCAAAGAAGATGACGTGTAGTGTGGGAGGGAAGGAGGTTTGAACTATTAAAAACTTTTGACCACCACGGTTGTACGTAAGAAAGCAACTGCGGGTTATACAAAGAAGGCTCCAACATACTGTCATGGTTAGATTCGTCTGCGCCAATTATCCTTCCTTGAGGAATGAAGCTCGCACTGTTCCACGGTGTCACGTAAAATTCTATTGTGGCCATCAACGACGAGGAAAGTGAGAAACGCGTGGGCACCTCTAAACAGAGCACCTTCAATGAGTCTCACATTTTGAGCATGCATGGTTAACAAGACGCTACGGTCACATAAACAACAATTGGTCAAACTATTACAACGACATGTGTCAGTGTTTGACTTAGGCGAAAAAGGTAAGCGACTGTCTTTGCCATGCTCTCGACCACAGCATACCATTGACACAGGCTTTGCCCATCTGGTTCAGCAAAAACCTTACAGGGTCCATCGTGAACTTACTTACAGCGCAACACCAGAAAAAATACAGGACAGGGAAAGAGTAATACAGAAAGAAAAGATGGCGCTGACTAACAACTGTTGTTTATTGGATGGATTGGATTTATTGAAGTTCACGATGGATCCTAACTAACTGGCCCAACTTACCGTCTAACTACAACCTTACAGGGCGTCGTCATCTGGGTGGAAAGTTATAGCTGAACAAGTTCAAGACAGGTTGCAGAAGGGCGTTATTGAAGAGTCGTGCAGCCCGTTGGCAGCACCTGTGATTTTGGTTCGCAAAAGAGACGGTACCTGGAGGTCTTGCATTGATTATAAACGATCTAACGCCTTGACTATAGGGTGTATATCCGCTGCCTCGGATCGACGACGTAATCGACTGTCTAAATTCTGCTTCATACTTTTCTTCACTCGATCTACGATCAGGATATTGGAAGACCCCCATGCACCCTGCTGACAAGGAGAAAACGACATTTGTAACACCCGATGGACTATATCAGTTCAATGTGATGCCATTTAGGCTATGCAATGCCCCCGCAACTTTTGAAAGATATATGGACTCGATTCTTCGCGGACTGGAATGGGAGATCTGTTTGTGCTATCTGGACGACATTGCCATTTTTGGTCGCATATTAAAAGAACATAACGTTCATTTGAGCCTCGTTCTGGACTGTGTGGGAAATGCTGGCTTGGTCTTGGAACTCCAAGAAGTGTCGGTTTGGTGAACGGCAGGCCTCGATCCTTGGCCATTTGGTGGACAAAGATGGGTTCAGGCCTGACCCCCAGAAAATTGAAGCGGTCAGCGCCTTTAAGCCACCCTCGTCTGTAAAAGAACTTCGCAGCTTTCTCGGGTTATGTTCTTATTTTCGACGCTTTGTGCCTAAATTTGCGGACATCGTGTACCTATTGACCAGCCTCTAGGGAAAAGACAGTGCATTCGAGTGGACATCTGAATGTGACGCTGCGTTCTGTCAACTCAACTTTCTGCTGACATCAGAGCCAATTCTCTGTCATTTTGACCCATCTGCTCCTACGGAACGTACGCAGCGACGCAAGCGGTATTGGCATCGGAGGCGTTCTTGTTCAGCGTCATAATGACAGAGAGCATGTCGTTGCCTATACAAGTCGTTCCCTCAGCAAGGCTGAAAAAAATTACTCTGTGACCGAACAAGAATGTTTGGCAGCCGTATTGCTATTCAGAAGTTTCCTTGTTACCTGTATGGACGTCCTTTCACGATTGTAACAGACCATCATTCGCTATGCTGGCTCGTTAATCTCCAACGCCCTTCTGGACGCCTTGCACGCTGGGCTCTACGCCTCCAGGAATTTGACTTTAATGTTGCATACAAAAGTGGACGGCGTCATACCGACAGCCGATTGTCTTTCTAGCCTTCCATTTTCTACGACTGACTGGCAACACAGACACGTTCGACATCTGCTTTGCTACTGTTTCACGCACGTTTCATGATGTCACCACGTTTCAGCGGGAACAGCGCAATGACTTTAGACTCTTCATTCGCCACTGTCAGAAGCCCCAAGGACAGTGGTCACTTTTGTCTTCGCGATGGACTGTTGTACAAGGTCAATTTCTTGGCAAATGATGCGCGGTATTTGCTAGTGGTTCCCCAAAACCGGCTGTACGACGTCCTACATTTCATGCATGATGACCTGACGTCTGGCCATCTTGAATTCATCCGCACTTTGCATCGAACTCAAGAGTGCTTCTGCTGGCATAAAATGCGACAATCTACGAAGCAATACGTCTCCAGTTGCGACAAATGCCAGCGCCGAAAACGTCCTACAAGCAGTCCGCTTGGCCTCCTTCACCCTATAACGCCGCCAACAACACCTTTCGAACAAGTTGGTATCGACCTGCTAAGACCGTTTCCGCGGTCTTGTAACAACAACCACTGGATTATAGTCTGGGTCGACCACCTTACCAGATATGCGGAAACTGCTGCGATACCATCTTCCACAGCGGATTCCGCCACCTCTTTCCTATTACGATCCATCGTTCTTCGTCATGGTCCACCTCGTGTCATCATCGGTGATCGTGGTCACCAGTTCGTCGCCCACCCTGTAGAGGAATCGCTTCGTCTCTGCACTTCGCAGTATCGCCATTCAACACCATATCATCCCCAGACGAATGGCCTTCTGGAACGCACAAACCGCACGCTTACCAATATGCTGGCTATGTATGTATCCTCTAATCACAGGAACTGGGATGACGTTTTGCCATTCATTACCTATGCTTATAATACAGCGAAACACGAAACCACAGACTTCACTCCGTTCTACGTATACTCTACGCTCGACAATAGCGCAGCTGCCTCGATACAATACTCCCATTCGAGCTCCATACGAACGATTCAGTTGCTCAAACACTGTGCCGAGCTTAAGAAGCCCGCCGAATTGCCCATATTCGCACACTGGCATCGCAAGATCGCTCCAAGCAGAGGTATGATCAATGCCACGACACCGTTTTATTCGAAAAAGGGGATCTCGTGTGATTGCGGACCCCTCAGCGGTAACGGTGCTTCTGCCAGAAATTTTTAGTGCACTATGCCGGTCCACTCGTTATAGTAAATCGCCTGAGTGACTTGATTTACGTGGTGGCACACTTGACGTTAGCTGGTCGTCGATCAAGCCAAACACGGTTGGCGCATGTAGCTCGTCTCAAGCAGTTCCATCCCACACTACGCAAATGATTCGCCTCGCCCAGCGGGCTTCGTCTGTGAACCGGGGAATGATACGGTATCAGCCGGGCCATGTTTTGGGACAAAGGTAGAGGAAGAGGAAGTTAGTTGGTTCGGCCTATGTTCGCCATCATCGCCGATCGTTGCCTGATCCCTGTTGTAAATAAACATAGCTAAAGTCAATCTATTCCTAACATTACATACAGGTTGAACAAAATTTCTTTAAAAGCAACTGTATGTTAGCAAAAAAAAGCGCGAACACACATATATATTGAAATCAAAGTTTCACAGCGGAGGTTGTTATAAGATCACAAGGGCTGGTTTTAGCGCCGTAGTTGCCCACCGCCACCACGGCCGTTTTCCGTAAACTCCATCCAAGGAGGAAAAAAAAAATGCTGGAGTGGAAATCATCGCCTATGAATGCAGAAATTGCGCCAAATTAATTTCACAGTCAAAACACATTAATCATATTCCCCTAGTCTAGAAAATCTATACGTATTGACTTACATTAACCACCGGCGTCTTGGCCAATCCCCCTTAGTGGGTGAGAGCCACAAAAAAAAAAGGAACAAACAAGCAAGCAAGCCGTGCCTCTGGCAAGATGGTGGAGCATGAAGCTATCCCGTAGGCCTCTTGCGCTGCCTCCAGTGATTAAAAAAGGGAAGTTTATTGTACACTTAACTTATACGTACACAAACTAAACAAATAAAACTAGTAAAGACAGTGTATTTATCTTAAAAATGAGCAGCAAAATCTAATTGATCACTGGGCACTCAAATGTTACAAGTCAAAGGAAAATTAAAATGAATCAAGTTATTCACATTTTACAGGATAACACTTATGCAGGCGTATACTAGAGTGGGCGCATGGCTAGTATACGGGAAAATCGGAAACCTCAGCTGTCCCTCTCTTACTTTGAAGAAACGTGTGTGCCATCGTCGAAGGAAAGCCTCTTCGCCGTGCGTTTCCAGCTGCTGGTCTAGGTAATTCTACTTAATTGGTCGTATTTTCTGTAGTGCGGGATAGGCGCCTCTATGCGGCTTGTGCCGTACTTCTGCTAAACAGCGTCGCCGCCACAGTACGTACAAGGTCACTGTAAAGACCAGTCTTGTAAACAGCCCACGTTCTGTTCCCATGTGCGCCGTGCGAAAGCCAAAGAGGCGTTGTACCATGTGTCAGGCACCCCTCACCGACAAGCACTGAAACAGAGCATGTTGGGTCGTCTCTTTTTTGCCGCAGTTTGGGAAGTGGTCATTTGGAACGACTCCCCAATGTGCTAACCGGTCACGCGTAGGTAATGCCCTCCATCTTCTCAACCAGTCGAATTCGCGCACCTGGTTAGGTACGCGATTGCAACGCCATCGTTTCCATTTTTTCGTGCAGGATGCGGTTTCTTCCTCTTTGCTCTGTGTGCCACTTGCCACCATTTCGCTTATTTCCTGCGATGAAACATCTGCCAGACTGCATGAACCTATTGATACTATGGTTCGTTTTAAGCCCCTGGCATTTCTGTAAAACTTAAGCGGAATTTCTGCTCGTGGTCCGATGTACAGATTGGCCGTGAAAGTACCTTTTGGTGTATTGCTCCAGTACATCAAGAGCCTGTACCCGTGGTAGTGGCTGTCATCGAATATCTTCTGTGTTGTTTTTGCCACCAGCGCTCTCGTGAATGTTCGTATGTCTGA